ATTAGCTGACTAGATTGGGACACAGGGAGCCTACAATGTTGAACTTTGTCATGATATTCTAATTTTGTGAAATACTGGATTTGGGTTTTTTTTGTCTTTAATCCATAATCATCAAAATTGAAACAAATAAAGGCTTGAAATATTTCACTTTGTGTGTAGTGAACTAATATAACATACAAGTTTCACTTTTTGAAACAAATTATTGAGATAAATGGACTTTTCCTCGATATTCTAATTTTTTGGCACATACCTGTATATCAACCTTTCAGTGGGTAAATGTTAACACAGTGACTGAGTGTGTGGTGTTTGACTGCAAGCTGGAGTCAGACTTCCTGAGTGCGTACAATGAGGTATAATGATGTACCTGCTAAACTATCCAAGTCCTCCAGGATCCTACCAAACCTGAGAAGAGACAGAAGACGAGTTACGTGGCAGGTGTGAGTCTTCATCTGCCTCAACTGTGTGTGCGTGCTCTCGTTTAAATCTACAGTATGTAACTTTTTCAAATATTTCTGTGGAGAGGTGCTGTCAAAGCCTCCTGTGACCCAGACTCACTGAGCAGCACTGGCAGCAGTGCAGAGGTATTTGCTTCTAAAGGTTTTGAGCGGGACTGACCTCTGACCAAGCAGAGATTTTCAGTTATTTGTCTGATCAGACAGTTTGGTTGCACTCTCATTTCTTGTAATTTCATATGAACAAATATCTGAAGAGCCAAGCAGAGCATAGCAGGTTGTGGTAGAGCGGAACAGGAAGAGGGAGCACTGGGCGGAGCAGAGTGGCTTGATGTGGGGTTTCATGCTAGCGCTACATTAAGTAATACACTGGAGCTTAAACAGTACACGTTGGTATTTGCGCATGTGTTTTTACCTGACAGTATTGTGGAAGGTCAGGTATTTTTCTCTGAGCTGTGGCTCAGAGCCAAGTGGCAGGTAGACCTCCACATAGCTGTCCTTCATCCTCTTGCCTGGAAGATCGCTTTGAGACTTTGCCAGCATGGAGGACAGTGCAACACGCTCCGCCAAGGCCTGCTGGTGGTCACTGTGGACAAGAATTACAGAATATATTACTAATTTTAACGGTGCATTAACTAAGATTTGTTTGCAAAGTATAAATGGCTCTGTACCTCCAGTTAGTGGAAACTCCCACGATTTCTCTCAGCCTGTTCCGCACTGAAAAACACAGAAGAAACAATCAGACCTATTTGAGGTGAAAACACCAAAGGTTAAAGGCTGCAGGTTTCAAAAAGTCTCTGTCAGAGCAGTGTTTGACTGAAGCTGTGTAACAGATAAAGATACTGTCTCACTTTTGTTTTTCCAGCTGCAGCCTTGGAGTGTGTGCTGCAATGCCACCACATCTCATAAACCTTCAGCAACCACATTTAAATTTACCACTCTTACAAAGTGGAGCAATCTGAAAACATTTGAACTGGTTTTGGCCTGAAGGCTGCAGCTGCTGGATGCACAAACAATGAGACAATATAAAAACTGATAGAAGAAGCAGTCAGTGGAGAAACCTGTCATGTGGGGAACAGCTGTTACAAAACACTGAAACAGAGAATGAAGAAAAAAGATTAAAAGGTGCCACCGGCTGGGAAGGTTTTCTCAGGATCACCGAGAATAAAATCCACATGTACTGAAAAGCAGAACAGGTGCATGATCAAAGTCGCTGTACATGAAACAAGGTGTGCTTCAGGTAAAAGAGAACCGATGGTGAGTTAGCATGGAAATATACAGGAAGAATGAACGTGCACTCAGAGCAAAGTAGAAGAGAATGACTAAAAGGACTAGAGAGACTGGGTTTACCGACACACACCGTTGGAAACGTGTAAAGGTGGTTTTCCTGTAGAGAAACAACAATCATTAAAAAGGTTCAGGGTCAAAGGTCAGGGGATGAACAAGGGGAGAACCAGTGAATTTAGGACAAACAACATGGAATATGTCACCATGTCAGATCACATTTGATTCTCTTGATGTGTGTTTGCAGGTCATTTAAAAGTTACAAGGTCAGCAAAATCTTTGGTCCAGTAGCAAAAGAGAAAACTTCCAAGTCGTGTTTGCAGGCAGAAAACTGTCCAAGCATGAGACATGTGTGTACAACAGATCTATGTTTAACAGAAAGCATGGTCTTACCCTCAGCCATGTCTGGCACCCTGCCCTGCTTCAACACTGGCCCTGTGCAGAGCAGTCTGGTCGTCAGCGATGGCACCGAGCGCAGCAGCAGGAACCTGAGGACAGAACAAAGAAAAAAACCCCATGACATTAAGACCGACTGGTCGCTGGGTCTTAAAAGTACAAAGGAACAGCACCAAATCTGAATTTCCCACAAACCCAATTCCTTTAAGTCTAAAGTGGCATCTTCAGATGTTTTGTTTTGTCTCACCAACAGTTTAAAATCCAAAAATATTCAGAAAAAAAGCACCAAATCTTCACAACTGACAAGTTGAAACCAGTACATTTTTACAATTAAAAAACGACTTACAGTAAAACTGTAACAAATAAATAAATAAATATGCTTCACGTTTGGAAAATTATTTGGTGGTGATTAAAACACGTGGAATAGTTGATGAATACGCTAATATGTTCCCCTGACAGTGCATAAAACATAACTTTCAACAGGTAAAAGTGTCGCTATTGTTGATCCTGGTCTTGGTGTCGGATCAAAAACCTAATGTTGTGACACCCCCTGCTGTATACATGGACATGACACACCCTCTATGTGAATGTATAGCCTACATTAAACCCCTACCCTACTGTGCAAACAGAAGACTAGGACAAATCACTAGTACTTATGTTGCATAGCGCTGCTAGCCTTAAACATGCTAACAGTTAGCTTTACAAGAACAGAATTTTGAACCACGTTTTTAACACACTGACCTCGGTAAAAGCATTGTAGAGTCTGGGTAGGGAGAGCTAAATGTTCGAGGTAAATAAAGTACGTGAGCTGGTTAAACAAGAAGGGAAATGCCAGGTCTTTTTTACAGGGCACTGCAGGTCCAGTGCCAGACAGGGAGGAGTCCGCCTTGGGAATCAAGCCACGCCCACTGACTGATGACACAAGACCCTCCGTTTCTGTACAGTAGATTTGAAGCCCTCAGTACAACCTGTCAGGCACGGCAAACGGTTAGCTTCAGGAGTATTCTGTGCTAAGGGATGCCTGTTTCCCCATAGATATATTTTCCCAGACCATAATCTGGACCGTGCCTTGTCCATATATCTAATCGTTCGTGTCTAATGGAACTTAACCTGACTACACCCACAGACGTAATCCTGCACGTACCGTGCGTACATTTTAAATGATTTGCCCACGTTTTACGCCACTGTGTCTGGCAGTCATTGTAGGATAGAGAAATATAGTTACATGTCTATTATATCGCACACCCTGAGAGTGGATCATATCATTTCTACTCCTTAACGCAAGCCCTCCAGCTTGCAGCGAGTTACAGCAGCCACACAGACTTTACCTGCTGCCAGCGCCTGTACCATCACCGGGACGTGCACATTTATTTATTGCTCTTGAGACACATTCATGCTATTTTCTAGACTAATTATTAAGTGTTTCAGCTACATTGCCACTCTAAATATTCATATCACGACATAGCTGTTACCACTGGCGGAGTTTAAAAATATGAGTCCCACACATATTAAGCCCTAACGCTGTCCACGTTAGGACAATCAGAACTGATGCTTTAGAAAATGTTATTTAAACTTGCAATAAAACAGCAGCTGATTACACACTGTGTCATTGTTTTCAGGGGTACTGGACGTCAGTGTATTTATATACCTCTAAACTCTTCTCAATGTGTTACTGGAAGTTTCAACAAACCAAAACAAGCATCACTTCACCTAAAAACTAAATTGGCTAAAAGCAGATACAAATCAAACAGGACACTAGACAACCACTAGAAAACCAAACTTAAATCACATGGCTGCTCAAATTTGAGACTTGGTTAGGGGCCGTTTCACTGCTGTGCCCAGGGGACCGTCCTTAGTGTTAAATGGATCATTATGAAGCTGCAGAAACCCTGGAAAAAAAGGTAGACTAACTTCACCCTGAACGTTTTTCTGATCTTCTTTAATACATGTTTTTAAAGGGAGATAAAAAACCAAAACCTCTGTCACTTTTATTATTTTAATCTGCAACACATTGAACAACAAAATCCCTTTAAACATTACAAAATGAGCACCTGTGTCATTGGAGGAAAAAGTGGTCCTGGTTTGACAAGATCCGAGATAAGTTAATGCAGGCAGTTCAGATACGAGGAGGGCCAGGGAACGTTCGTCTTCCCTGAAATTCATCCATATAACCATCAAAAACCTCTTTCCTACACACAGACCAGTGTGCATTCAAATGCTGCCCAGCCCTCCAGTCACACACAGTCATGAACCTTTGAGAGCTGCAAAAGTCCAAACCTTGTCTCTGACTTCTGCAGCATCCGTGACAGAAACACCACAGTAACTGGTTCCAGTAAAAACCACTGCTGGGGGATAAATCACTGGTCTGCATGAGCACTGTCACACCCCAGGCAAATTCAAGATTGTGAGGAAAGCAGAAACATAGGAAGGCTCACCGGGATTAGCAATAAAGGTCTGTCATCTCAGACAAGTTCTATAAAAAGTTCAAAGGTTCCCACACATCCCAGTTTGAAAACTTCACACTTTTGAGTGACAAGATTGTGGTCAGGACAGGAAAATCCCCGGGTTGACTTTCCAAACATTTTCAAATGTGTAGGAACCTCACGAGTGAAGCACCAGGTTTCAGAGTTCCTGAATTCTCTCACCCATTGACTACAGACAACATGAGACATCCTGGGCCTCTGGAGTTTGTAATAAGTTACAGGGGGATCGAGAGCCCTGTCTCCGGCGCAGGAAGATGTGGGACAGAAAGAAAGAAAGGCTGGTATTGCTTCAAGTCTAAGTCTTTGAAAGCACAAGAATTCACATTACAACGCGAGTCCAAGTGTGATTGTTGGTACATGGAACAAGAGGAATGCTGTGTAAACTAAAGGTCATATCACACGGAGGAGGCAGTGCAGAAACGGGAGGTGGGCCAGGGGGTGGGGGGTCCCCATCGTGTTCTCATCAGGTCATCGAGTTCACCTCAGGGCTAAAACAATCAACAGACATTTTACAAATAAACATTGGCGCCGGCTGCTCCAGTGGAAGATCTTGCTGGTTTTGTTATAAATAAAAGGAAATTGGGAAATTCAGAAACTGTACTGGGCCCCCCCAACATTCTATAAACTAATCAGTCAACTGATTAATCAATGTTGTTACAAGTAGGCAAGATAGATAAAACCCTGTACAACTGTATAATACATTTTATATTGTGAAATCTTGAAATGTGACATTTTACTGGTTTGACAAAAAAAAAAAATCACTTAGTCTCCAGTTTTTGAGGTTAGAACTGCAGTGATGACATGACTGATCAGCAGCAATCTGAATAATCAATCAATGGCGTCAATAGTAGAACAGGAGGCATTTCTGTTTCATATCATTCCAAATTGAGTATTAACTGAAGAGATGGTTGAAGGTGTTACCACAAACTGTGATGGGCATTTCCAGTTTATCATTTTACAGACTTAATGATTAATGGGTCAATAACAATAAAAACGATTAGTAGCTGAAGCTTTGTCACTTTTCTTGCGCAGAGCTCTTTACCAGTTTAACAAAGCCAAATCGGGTTTAGACCAGTTCCCCGCGAAGGTTCACATTAAAATTGGGCTTCTTATAAACTGGATCCAACCCAGATCTCTTGAGCGTCATCACTACCTGCAGCATTGAACATTACTGCTGTTGCTTAAAAGATGATCCGTTGTGTCTTCGTGTTTATGTATGGGCTTTGTGAGCGCACACGTTTGCTTGCGTTTTAAATATACAAGCATTTTGTTTTATCATTAACTGATGTCCTCTTTTGTTGTGAAACACTTTTTAACCATGTTTTGGAAAGTGCTATAGAAATAAAGCTTATTATAAGCCCTGTTTAACTCCACAAGTCCTGATGGAGAACGGCTTGATGTGAACTAGAGGGAGTCAGTGTGAACACAGCGCAGCGCTGCTAAGGCATGCTGGGTACGCTTTAGACAGCAGAGCATCAGAGGACATAAAGCCATGACAGTGTGGGTTCGGTGGCGCTCGGTAAAAAGCAGCTGACATCTGTCGTAGTGCAGGTGTGCTGGTTTTCTTGTTGGCACCTGAGGCAGAGTCCACCTGAATCTGGTGAAACTCAACCTGAAGACTAACTGAATTCAATTTTGCTTTCTCTCAAATAAACGGAGTTGAACACGGGCCTGGACAGACATCGCAGCTGATTTATCACAGGTGAAAACTGGTGATATCTGGAAACATTCGTGTTTAATGTTCTATAATCAGCACAAGTTTATCAGCAACAATTCTGATCAGATTGTTTGTTGTGCTCAAATGTGAGGATCTGCACCTTTCCTGTGATTGACATCACCTGGGGGGACCTCATGGTTGACACATCACCATCTTCTGATACTAGATAGAAAACAAAAATAAGAAATGAATCACTAATGAAAATACTTGTTAGATGCAAAGTTTAAGTTTGGTTTTCAAAGATTTTTATTTAAATAAACTGCTGATTCCTCTCAAGTTATACAGTAATTAAATTTATTAATCTATTTATTTTCATTAGTGAATAATCCGTCAGTAGTTTTCTGTATCATTTGACTGTGAAACGTTGGGAAATAGACAAAAGACCACAAAAACTTCCTAAAGTTTGAGGCAATTACTTCAAATGCCCGAAATAATCAGTTTACAACATTATATGAACAGAGAAGAACAAAGTCTTTACTCGAATCCAGGAAAAAAAAAAAAAAAACTAATCAATGATCAAAATCGTTGCTGATAAACATAACTGAACCCTTTCAGCTCTGACTTGTTTGATGGCAGCAGGTGTTGATGTGCAACTCTGACAGTGCTGATGTTGTGCAACGCGGCTCTGTGGACAGACAGCAAGTCTGTGCTCTGGGGAGTGTGCGCCGAGTTCAGCAATACATGACCCACGTGTGGCAGCTCCGAGTCCAGTGGCTGGTGGACGACTTTGGTCTCAGAAGGTTGAGCTGAAAAGCCACTTTTAAACAGGTGTCGCTGGTTGGTCTCCTCCCGCTATAGAATACTTGATTGTAGTGATTAAAAAAAAAAAAAAAATTTAAACAAGCAAGAGTCCACTTGTCACTGATCTGCAGCTTCAGCTGAGGAAGAATACAAACCTCCCATCTCCCTCAAAAGATTTGATGAGAAGTACAAACCACATATGAAAAATAATTTTAAAAAACCAAAGTGGCAAATAAAGGCTTTAAACTCTAGATTCAAATACTCCCAGATTTCCTGAAGCTTTACAGCCTTGTGACAGGTTGCCTGGATTTCCTGAAGCGAAGGTGTGTTTGTATGTAAGGCCTGTGTGATGCTGATCCACAAGAGGTAGAAGTCAGGGAATCTCCATCTCTCGTTCGATGCCAACATACTTCAGAGCATCAGCCTGGCTGTACCTGGAAAACCAAGAATAAAAATATTATTTCCTTTTGCGACAGGGCAAGCATCTGTTCAGTCAGTCAGTCACCCTGTTCGCCCAACACAAAGAGCTAGATCTGGGCTGGTGCTTGCACCCATTCAGAATTGGTTCAACTTGCAAACCTAAGATCTGTTTTGCTTTTCCACAGGCTAGAGAGCCACGTTGCCATGTCACTGTATAGGTCTACCCTTTCCCAGCAACTTCTAGCTCACACTAGCACAGCAATGATAGACTACAGCAAAAAGGAAACCGTGCTTTAAAAACAAACCTGCCTAACATACTTTATACAAAGTCAGCCTTTTGTGAAGCCAAAGGTTAAGTGACATTGATAGCAACGTGAGAAAGTAGCATGCTAACCTTAGCTACTGTAGCTGGCGGTCAGGTAACATTACACCATCATTAGCCAAAAGCATAGCTACTGATTTCTTACAATGTTACAAACATATGACTGATGTGAGAAATTTTTTAGCTGTGCTCGCTTTAGTAATGTTAGCTGACCAATAGCTAGCCATCAACATAGCATTCATAAAATTAACTACTGGGTGTAGAGCAGCAAGTCGAGTCGGTGCAGCTCTGGAAGCAGATTCCCTGGACAAGAACTGGTTTGTTTAGCTGTCCGCTGTCCACCCCCCCCCAAAAAAACCCAATGGTTCAAGACTGGACACTGGCTCCGAACTGACGGAGGGAGGAAACATCATTCCTCCAACACCCTCACTGTACCCAACACACTTCATCGCCCTCATTAAGCCATTCGGTGACAAGAGCTATGACCATTTAGTTTACTGTTAGAAAGTCACGATGTTACTAAAAGACTCATCTGTGTGATTCAGAAGAGTCATATGACAGTTGCATCACTTTCTGTTCTTGGAGACACCGGTCAGTATTCTACTCCTTCCTTCTGACCTGTAGTCAAAGAACAGCTCCTCTCCAGTCTGAATGGCTCTCTTGGCAAAGATCCCGATCCTGTGATCCCCATTCACCATCATCACTATAGAGATGAGTTACAGATGAGTACATACAGATGAGTTGGCAAAGAGACACATTTACCACAAAGGCCATGCATGCTAGCATTTCAGCAACATCCTCATCCTCTGACCTTTTGCATAGCAGTTAGGATTGACAGAATGGTTCGCAAA